CTTGAGTTCTTCTGTTACAGGATTTGTTCACTAATCAGAGAATTTCTAAAAAAAATGGATTGTTTTTGTGTTTACAGTTAGTTCTAATTGGTTATTGATCAAACTCGGTTGGAGGTGATATTAATTTATACTACTGTAAAATAATTTATTTTAGCTGGAATTAATTTTCGTGAAAACACTTTTTGGGTGTTTTGTATGGAATTAATTTTTACTGATTTTTGACGAGTTGAATGTAAAATATAGAAAAAAGGTATATTCACTGGATTTTATTTTCATGAATCATTCCTTCAGCAAAAATAGCGAAAATCAATTCTAAGCAAAATAAAGTATTTTACAGTATGATTATTAACTGAGTTACAAAAATAATTCTAATTCTTTTTGTTTGTGTAGATCCTGACTTTACGGGAGATGGTAGACCTTGATCATTTTGGTCATCAGGTCAGTGAGATGCCGCAAAGTGCACCATACAGAGAACCAGCTGTAGATACCTCAGCTTTGACTGAGCAATCAGGAGAAATGCCGTCAAGTTACACGATGGCGGCACCCCTCAGTGATGCTGAGATCACAGCATTGTTGATGGCGTCACCATTATACAAGAAATTGGAAGAAATCAAAGAGTTGATGAGTAAGGGTGTGAAGCCACCAAAAGCTGTTTCTGATGGTGAGATTTACTGAATTATTGTTGGATTTTTAGATATTGCCTAGGAAGTTTTGCTGTAGATTGCAGCTTACTAATAAAATTTGCTAGTTTTAGATTTAGCCAATTTAATTTCTGACTAAGTTCTAGCTTGACTTGATAAAAAGTTTGATTTATGTTTATTAATGCAGATGAGTTCATTTAATATTTTTTTGGAAATGAGATGAGACTGGTGGTATAAGAAGATTATACATGTATTCTTTGGTGAGTGAGGCCTGAGCAAATCTGATATTTTTTTCATATTTTTAGGTGATCATTTCTTGGACAACCGTGATGCACAATGGGGAAATGATGGTAAACTGGTACCTGTAGATCTCAATAAATTAAGTGGTCGTAATCTGGTTGTGTATAAATTTGGTTGTTTTGTAATTGAGCTACTTGCTGTACACTGTCAGCATAAGCCAGTCACTCTTCTACTAGCAGAAAAGATCCCAGCAAACGAGGAGATATCAGCCAATGCTTACAGAAATTCCTACCACTATGATCACAGTAATCGTATACTATATATGAGACTTGCCAGGTTGGATTTCGTTGGTGAATTCTTACTGGTTCTAGCTCACAGTCTAGCTCATATTCATACCGGTAAGTCTTGTTTTATTTAATTTGAAAATCACAAACTTTATAAATTGAATAACCTGGCAACAAAGAATGTCAAAAGAGTAACCACAGTTTTGTATGTTCTCAATTATTCTGTCTGTATGTGGTCTTTCTGCTCATCGCAATATGCTCTGTTCCATTAGTATTAATCTCAGTTGATCTGATTTATATATTATTGATCAAGGTATATTAAGGTGTCCTGTAACAAATAACTGAACATATAGTGATGATATTGTTGGTGAAATTCAGACCACAACATTCTTAAACAACAAACATTAATTTGTGTCCAATTTAAAATGCACAACAGAGTAAATTAAATTATACATTTGTGTTTCACTAATGATTTTCACCGTGCTATCCCCGGCATGTGAAAGCCCATTCGATGGTTAGGTTAAAAAGTGTCATGGCTGTCTGCGGTCAAGAATATTAGATTTGTCTAATTTTTACACAAAATTCTGCAATTTCTGTATTTCTATCTCTTGATTTTGTTTTCCACATCACATGAATTAGATTGTACAGAATCATTTTTAAAGTTTTTTTTTTTTTTGGGTTTCCAGGTGATATGAGAGATGATACACAACCAGAATTTAGTCGAGAGTTCCACAAATCTCTCTCTGTGTTATGCCATGATTTATTCTTTGCTCGTTATCGTCGTTCGTCTTCCTTGTTAAGTTTGAAGAGTGCTAGCAAGGCAGAACAATCAAAAGAAGAACAGGACTCGCGTATGATGCTGGAAATGCTTTTCGGAGATTCTCATCTTGATGCTGATCAACGTAATATGGTGGATGAATTGATGGATGTCAAGTTGCTACGGGATACCAACAATGAGGGCGTGCATTTTGATAAAGATAATATGGATGAAAGGTGATTATCTAATAATGTTTTTATAAATTTTTCACACCTGAAGTTCTGTGGTGAGATGGCAGCCATTTTTGAGGGCAAAATTTCATTAAATTGCCTTAGCATAAGAGAATAGTTTTGTCCTCTATGCTTTTAATAGTTTCTGTGTTGAATACTTTTAATGCGAAAGTCAACTTTTGCCCCCTTCCTTAAAGTAGACCTGACTGCAACATCAGTAAAAGTCATGTCTGCATCTAGCTTTTTAATCAGTTGCTCAAAAAATTTTATAAACTGGTACTTTGTGCTATGATAGGACAATGTAATAGTGTGATTTTTGTATTTTGTTTTCAGGGGTGTATCAATGAGCAATTGGTTTTCATATTTGGTTGCCCATATGCCCATATCATTTCATGGAATCTGCACTGACAGGCGCAGTAGTTTACCATCAAGAGAACGATAAACACGTTTATTATTGGGCAAAATAAAACTAGAAACCCTTGTTGTAGCTGTTTCCATGAGGTGAATGTTCAATAATCGTTTTTCTTTCAGATTAACAAAATACAGCAAGTTCACTGTAAATAGCCAACTAAGAGGCTTCCTTGGCCGCAGTGAGGACAAGATAGGATTAGCACGTCAGCACGGAATGTCTGACAAAGTGGATGAACGTTTGAAGGAGTTAACAGGTACTGCTCCAGCAACAAGAGTATTACCAAAACATTCCACAAAGAGTCCATTATTAGCTAAATTACCTGCTGAGTTGAGTGGTACAGCACTGTGGCAGAAAGCTACACAGGATGCTCTAGCTAAGGAGTCTAAAACAGGAAAATCAACTGGAAGTACAGAGGTGAGATCATTTGAATATTTATTTTACAAAAATCAATAAAATGCCCCAGTTGCATTCAAATTTTGTGTAAACAATATACTGTGAAATACTTTATTTTAGCTGGAATTAATTTTTGCTGAAAAGACTTATTTGGGTGTTTTGTGTGGAATTTAATTTCAGTGATTTCTAACGAGTTGAATGTAAAATATAGGAAAAAGAGTATATTCGCTGGATTATATTTTCACTGAATCATTCCTTCAGCGAAAATAGCGAAACTTAATTCCAAGAGAAAATAAAGTATTTCACAGTACTGCATTTGTTCTATTAGAAGCACATCTACAATAGCAGAACACTTAATTGCATTTATTACTGTAATGTTAAAATATAATTGAATCCAGATTCTGTATTATTCTATGGTCAGATGTGATTGCACATCTTTACTTAATTGCTTTAAACATTTCACTGAATTTTGCCAAATCTGGAGGTGATATAATTGTTAAATTGTTAACTGCATTTAGTTGGGCAAAATCGTATTTTTTTTACCTGTGAGGGGGTTATTCATATAACCATTTTACTGGTTGTCCAAAAAACCCGGAACCGTAACATAAAAATTAAAAAGATGTGAAGTGCAACCTCAAGTGGAAACATTGTAAACATGCGCTTTCTGCCTATTATTTCATCCACATTATTAGAATAAGTGTACACACAACTACAAATTGCAATTATAATAAAATAAATAATATTAATAATAGATAAACTATGTCCATTAATGCAATATCACTTATATTAAACAACCTGTACGCCCAAATATTTTTAATTTCACTTTCCGGTTCCGGTTCAGGGTTTTTTAGACAACCCATTTTACTAACCATTTTCTGATGAGAGATGAATAAACTGTCTAGTTTACACTTGTATTCTATTACATAGACTGAGACTGAAGAGTTACAGGATACAGTGGATCAGCTGACAGCGGATTTCTCTAATCATAGTAGTAAACTAATAGAGACAAAGGATAAAGTGAACAATCTACAACAACAACTACACAGTCAGTCAGAATCAATGAATTCAGGGACATTATCACCGGATGCCAGAACTAAGCAGGTTAGTTGCTTACTAAACAATTGACTTGACATCACTTGAAGAGGATGACTTGGCTAGGGAGTCTCTCTATGAAACATGCTAGAGAGTTCAGGTCATGAACTTGGTAGCATGTCCAGATTGCTAAACATGCTAGGGAGGGTAATTGCCTATAAAGCATTCTAGGGAGTTCAGTTCTCTAAATATGCTAGAG